TTGACTTACACAGTAGCAGGGGTTGGCTAAGTAAGCCGCACATCTGTGAGGCAACCTATCAGGAAGGGATGGTCCCGAGCAAGCTGGAACCCCATGGCTATGGCAGAAGCTGTTGTCCACAGACAGTCAGAAAAGGAAAATCCAGGGATGGGAGGGTAGTTGTAGGTCCAGCTGCTGTTGGTGCCTTTTTTGCCAGGAAAAGCTCAGTCCCTTTTAAGAGCTCACCTGACTAGGTTGCACTCACCTAGGATAACCTTCCTAGTTTGATGTCATCTGCTTAGAGCTATGAATCACATCTGTAAAATCCTTTCACAGAAGCACCTCGTTAGTGTTTGAATAACTGGGAGAAGGTGTATGTTTGCTACAAAGTGTCTTCTGACCTTTTCTGTGCCAAGCCGACACATCTAAAGACCATCAAAACAATGCGTCAAATGTAGGTCGTAATGCAACTTATTATTTCTAGGAGTTGGAATGATGAATTCTGTGTGAGAGAGGTCACGTGATTGTGCTTGGCTGTCTGCAAGTCAATCCAAGTTTCATTCAACTCCCAACTCTTTCCTGGGACCAGGGCCATTCGAAGTGTCTTCCGCACAGAAGGTACTTTGACCATCCTCATTTTACAGGTGGGAAAGCTGGAGTTTAGAGAAGTTACTGGCTCAGTTGAGTGATGGAGCCAGAGCCTGTGCTCTTAATTTTCATGCCGTGCTGAGTCTCAATGTGGCCCTGCATGTAAGTCATTTCTTTTCCAGATGCCTGTATGTTTGGGAGGTCACGGTCTGTGCAAGAACCACATGGGATCTTGTGAGCCTTGGTTGTCTCGTGGCAGAGGGGGGTGTACTGTCTTATAGGGACACTAGTGTCTCTTTTAAGCCCTAGAACCTTAGACTCTACTTCCAGGGCTCCAGTCCCTCTGGCCTTTCTGGGCCATGTGCCACCAGTGTCCCTTGAACTACCTCAACCTCTGAGTCATGCAGCTTCTCCATTTGCCCCACATTTAGGCTTAACTCCAGCCTGAATCAGCTCTCTCAGACTTATTTCCTGAGGCTCCAACTAAATCTCCTGGCCAAAGTTAGACCTCGTCACAGAACCTTCCTATTGGGCTCTGGTCTTTTCTCTCCCATTCATTTATTCATTCATGCATCTAAGCAACCAATGTATGACCATTTACTACGTGTCTATGCCAACATAGCATTTACTATGTTAATAGGACAGTTGAGCTCTTAGCAACTTCAAAGCAATTACATTCCCGGATCTCAGAGAAAAGCCTTGGGAAGTAAGAATGCTTGTCCAGCAGAAAGCTGGACCCTCTCTGCCTTGCATACTGCCTTTCTTCCACATTCAGCACATATTTTCAAGTGTGTGTTTTTCTCTTTGTATAGGTGAACACATTAAAACAATCTGTGTCATTAAGAGTCCCTCTCCATCATCACCCTTGCCCCTTTCCTCCCCTTCCCACCCCCACTCTCTATCCCAAAGGTGAACCGTATCCATTCAGTGCATATCTTCCCAGATCTTTCTTCCATGCATTTATAAACAAATATGAATATATTGTATTTCAAAGTATTTATAGTTTTACATGACAGTTATTCCATAAGTGCTTACTGGCGGCTGAATGACTCCGTTTTCACATGTGTTTATCCCCAATTTTGTTGCCGCCCTCCCTGATTTCTGTACCCTTTCCAGGCAGAGAAGAGAGGTGAGTAAAGGCTTGGGTTCCTGGGTTTCCTGGTGGACGTAAGGTGGACATAAGAGCTTGCTGTGTGTGTTAATCAGCTCAGATGGCCATAATAAAATGCCATGGGCTGCGGAGCTTAGATGGCAGGAATTTATTTCTCATTGTTCTGGAGCCTGGAAATCCAAGATCAAGGTGCCCGCGGGGTTGGTTTCTGGTGAGGGCTCTCCTCCTGGCTTGTGGACAGCCACCTTCTAGTTGTGTCCTCACATGGGGGGTAGAGGGGAGTGAGATTGAGAGATCTCTTCCTCTTCTTATAAGGCCACAGTCCCATTAGATTAGGGCCCTACCTTATAGTCTCATTTAATCTTCATTACCTCCTAAAGACCCTATCTCCACGTACAGTCATATTGGAGGTTAGGATTTCAACATAGGGGTTTTGCGGGGCCGCAGTTCAGTTCATAGCACTGTCCAAATGTCTATACATGCCTCAGGGCCACTGCATACAGAGTTGGGCTGCTCCAGTGCCCCTGGTTCAGAGCTCTGCCCCCAGGGAATGCTCTAGGATGCTTGCTGACACATGCATTAGAATAGAACTACTTGCCCTGGGACCTAGGGGAAGCCGAGGGCCTCCCAATGGCACTACCCCGAGCATTCCATTTGAATTAGTGGAAATTTCAACTACCACTTTGTGAATGGTTCCAGATGTGTGGGCTTGGGAAGAAGGAGATAGCTGGAAAGGCATGCTTAAAATTAGAAGTTAAATTAAGCTTGGGGTGGGGGATAGCTGCCGTCACCTAAGGATCCATGAAGGGGGACATTTCTGTCATGAGATGCCTTGGGCCTGATGAAAACGGGGGGCTAACCTGTGCCTGTGTTGAAACAAGTGGCTTGCTGAAGCCAAGTAATTAACCTCATTCCTCTGCTCAGATCTTGGTTGGTTTTAAAGGCTCAGAAGGACAAAGAAGGAAATAGAGATTGCACAGTTACTGAGAGGAGGGAACAGCTCTCTGGGAGAACAAGGACTAATTAGTCTTTCGAAGGCGATTTCAAAGGAGACACTGTCAAGTGCCCACAGAGATTCTGTCGTGGGGACTGTGAATCACTGGGGATGGCTCAGAGACACATTTCTGTAGTGGTTCTGAAGCTAGGATGAAAGAGCATGATGCAGAGCTTTGGGGGTGTGGAGCAGATGACGTCTGTAGAGGAAGTACTGGGGGGAAATGAGCTTCTGGCTTGAGGTGGCAAGAGGACTTGTAAGGCAAGTGAAACACGAAGACTGTGTATTATCCAGAAGTGAAATGGCTGCTTGATGTGGCAGGACATGTGGCCAGGGCGACTGCACAATTACATCTGCAAAAACCAAAGGGTTGATAGAGGACCAGGACTGTGAAGCTGTAACCTGCCATTGGGGTGGATCAACCTACATCAGCCATGATTGTGGACTTGGAGACAATTATTCAGCATGGAGAGCTCCTATTAGGAGGCTGCTGTGGGAAAATGACTGTGCGTCTTCAGTCCGTGTGGGAAGAATGTACCAGAATGGTTAAGATCCTAGACCTCATGATCAACAAGCTCTAGTACTTTCTATAGGCAAGTTATTATCTCTCCAAGACTTAGTGTCCTCACCCGTAAAGGTAAATTAAAATAGTGCCCACCTATTAGGGCTGTTGAAAGGACTACACAAGATAGTGTCTGGGAAAGGCCTAGTTCCTGGCCAATGCTTCCCAAATGGTAGCTCTAATTATCCCAGTTAGGCAGTATAATCTGGTTCCTTGTGATAAGGGAGGACATTTTCCCTTCAGTTTCTCAAGTCAGAACGAATAGGCACATGGAGAAGGGAGGAAATAGGTCCAATCCAGTGGATTTTGGCCAAAGTTATGTGAAAGGAAGAGAGGAGAGTGCTCAAGCTATGGGAGGAGTGTTTATCAAGTTAGGAGACGAGTTGAGTATCATGGGTATGGGAGGATTGGAAGGGCAAAAAAGAAAAAGCAGCTGTGAATTTTATAGTCCTGTTACCCTGTCACCAGCCTGGGTAGAGCGCCTGCTACGTGGAGTGTGCCAGTGAGACGTGGGATCCCGTGAAAGTAGGTGGGCTGGTCTCTGCTCCTGTGGCCTCCACGGTGCCTGTTGCCATGATCAGCAGAGTGAGAACAGCCCTGATTAAAGTCCTGACATGGCACCTGGGCAGGAGCATGACCCCAGGAGGGGCCTGAGTCTTTCGGACTGCAGGCCCATGACCTCAGGGGCTCTCCATGTGTCTTGGACAGAACTCGGGTGCCCACTTCTCGTACTGCAGTATTCCAGGTGCTCCATGAAATATGTGACCTGATCTCTGATTTTAGTCCCAGTTTGGAAGAAATTCAGGAGGCCCTGATGAAATTCCAGGTGCCAGGAGATGAGTGCAGAGAGGGGGTAGTGCTGACAGAGAGAGGACGGCTGCCGATGGGAGAGGTGCTGCGGGGACACGTGTCAGTAGGACTCAACAGCGGTGTGGGCAAGTGGGGAAGAGCCCCAGGGTTCTGGCCTGCGTGACTGGACAGTCCCAGGAGCTGAGGCCGGGGGACACTGGAGTAACCTGGACCAGTGGTCCTCACGTTTTAGGATGTTTGAGAACTACTGAGTCTGAATTTCTGGGATGGACCTGGAATCTGCCTTTTCAGCAGGACCCTGAGGATTCTGAGGCAGGTAGCCTGCCGCTCACACCTTAGGAATGCGGGATTAGGGAGAATAAGCATCATAGTCTGGCCCTCCAGAAAGCAGGGTCAGAGGTAAGGGCTAAGGTACTCATAGTTTATCAAGGAGGTGAATCCTGGGCTGGTGAGGGGGTGGGGGCAGATGGCATAGGATGCGTTGATTTTTTGTGTGGGCTACCTGTTCAAAATAAGCTGTGAAGACTCAAGCGGGTCATCCAGTGTATGATTTCTGCTTCCCACTGGTGAAGTTCACCCTAGCGGGAACCCACTCCCCTACCTTTCAGGACTGTGTCAGCTGTCCCCTTGGTGACCTCTCAGAAAGCCGGTCCCCACACCCCTGGTAGTAGAGGAGCAACCCAGGTGCGTGGGTCACTGGCCTAGGGAGAAAGGAAGGGGGAGGCAGCTGAGCCCAGGTGGGGAGGTGCTCAGGTCTGTCCCCCAAAGACTGGAGAAGTCAGACTGGGGAAAGGTTTCTAGCTCCTGTAATGAATTAGTTTTGAAGCTGGATATTAAGAAGAAAGATTTCTAGTGAAATTATGTACATTGAGTTATCTTCACAATGGTAATGAAAAAGGAAGCCTAGAATGTGTATCCATCGTAAATGTTTTAAAATTCTTTGTTTCTTGCCCCAGAAAATCTTCCAGTAAAAGAAGACGCTGATCAAATGACACGTGTGAGCAGTCGCAGATTTTTGCAAAAGGGAGGCTTCATAAATCCAAGGTATTGCCTGTTTATTTTATACCCTGAATTAACTTTCTACCTTTCCAGCTCAATGTTCTCATAAAAGAGAGTAAATGAGTTTGTGAATCTCATCCAGAATCCCAGTTTTTTCTCTGAAGACCTGTAAGTTCCTAAAGTGCTCTAAAAGGAATATAAAAATAATAATTGTAATTCTTAAGGGCTGCCAGGGGCACACTATGTTTCAGAGACTGATAACCTTGCTTCACGTTTACATGAAGTTTTTCATCTGTGTGTTTCCAGAACTTGGCTAACATTACACGCTGGCAAATGGCACTGATCAGTCATAGGAATAGGGGACTTTAGTCACAGGAAGTTTAAATAACTGTTCATGTCATATAAAGAGCTGACAACAAATAGATCCTTAGATTTATCTCCCACTGTCATCCTGAACCAGTTAAAAATATTTCAGGTTGGCTGAGAGATCTGATCCTAGGAAGAAATGCCTCTTAACTGTCACAAAGATGTTGATTTTAGTTTGTGAGAAGATGTGTGTGTGTGTGTTTATGTTTATGTTTGCTGGGGCAGGGGGTAAAAATGTGCTGCTGTTTTTAATGTGTACTTGTGAGGGTTGGCAGGCAGCTCATGGTTTCAGATAGGAGTTAAAGGATGGAGAAATGCACCATGTGTAGATTTTTAAGTGCCTGTAGGCAAGGTAGACTTGAATGAAGAAGCAAAGGAAAGGTTTTGAGCAATCAGAGGGCAAATTGGAGAACAGGAGGAAATGAGAGGCTAGTGTCAAGCAAAGAAAGAGAGGAAAGGAGAGACAAATTGTTGTAAGAAGGGAAGGTAACCCATTAAGGAATTTATTGCAAGAGATACTTGCCATGCAGAAAGAAGAGCAGACTGACTTATTCACAGCATGTTTGAGAGAGATTGGTTATGGCGACTGGATCTGTGAGGTTCAGCCAAAGAGGTTTCATTGAGTAACAACTACATGCGAGGCATTGAGACAGCAGCGGGGAGGAGAGTTGGTCTCCTGCTCACTGTGTGACTGACGCCTTTCCTCCCCAGGCCTTCACGCACATACTGTTTAGAAAAAGAAGTCAGCAAGATGGTAGAACAGGATGCTTTGTCTACAAGGTCTCTTCCAGCTCTGGAATTCTTTGATTCTGGGCCAAGATCTCTAGGGTTCCACACAGACTGAAGCAAGGGTGTTCTTTGCAGGCTGGATCCCTGTAGGGTTGGATAGCTGTTGTTTTAACTTCCTGTCTCCCAATCTTATTTCTACCAGGTAGTATTATTTTAGTTGAAAATCGATAGAGAGCCTAACCAAAGCCAGCTTAAGCAATGAAATTAAGTTATCGGTTCACAGTGCTGAAAAGTCATGAGTGCGTTTGTTCAGGAATGGCTTGATCCAGGACCTTCAGCGCCGTCACGGTGTTCCGACTGCCTTCTCTCTCTCGGTTCTGCTTCCCCAGGAAGTCTTCTTTTCCACACCTGTTCTTCCCTGAGGCAGCAAGATGACTGCTGCAGCTTCATACTCGTCATCTTTTAACCCCCAGCTTGCACAGAGGATATGTCTACCCAAGTGTGAGCTCCCACACACACCCTGGAAATCATGCTGATTGTACTGGTTTGGGTCAAATGCTCACCCTTACACCAACACTGTGGCCAGAGGGCTTTAATTGTGCTGAGTGGTCAGTGCTGGCCACATGCTCCCCCCTGCCAGAACCTTGTGGACTGCGGAGTTAGGACAGTGTAACCACGAGGTGGGGGAATGGACTCCCCCCACATTAATACTGGGCCACCCCAGGCTCAGTGAAACCTAGGAAGAGACCTGAGGTTCTGATCCAAAAAAAGCAACAAGGAAAGTCGGGGCTGGCGGGGGAGGCCAGGAAGAATTCCTGTCCAAACATGCCTCCAGGTTGAGTGTGACATGTCCACGGTGGCAGCTCACTCCCTACTCAGGACGCCCTTTGTTCCGTGGGCTGACCAGGGATTTTGCATAACCCTGGGACACAGTTACTTTCAGGAGCTTGGGGGTGGGGGGAAAGCGCCCCACTTCCTGTTTAGGATCACACTCTCTGCCTCCCCTCCCACGCCCGCCACATGTTCACTCTAAACCTCAGCGTCCAGCCAGAAAAGCCTTTTGTGTTTTCTTGGCAAAACTATGGCCCGGTAATTAAAGTCCATATGCAAAGCTGCTACCTTCAGCCCACACCGAGGTCTTTTAATTAGTATGTAATTGGTCAGAGAGGTACTATCAAAAGCTCCCAGTCCAGACGGCTGGAAAAGCAATGTTTGAAGAGCCCCAGACCAGAGAGAAATAATAAATACTTTACGTCCCATCTGTTGGAATGATTTGTTTAAGGTATGCATTTCTGGTCTATTACTATTTTTAACAGTTATGTGACAGCATTTCTTCAAATCCTGGAACACGTACCAGGGTATTTGCTGGAGGCAGGAGTGTGAGTAAATGAACCAGAACAAGGTGTAGCCAATCCCTATGTTTCCCTTCAAAGAAATTCACCTTATACAGTGGGCATCGGGAGGGGAACAGGTGGGCTGGGCATTTGGTCGGAGTGACCAGTCAGCAATGTCTGGGTTATGTCCCTTCACGATCGTGACAATCAGAGAAAGCAGCCTGTTAACCAGCTGTGGTCTTTGAAGTGAGAGGCACCTGCGTCCCTTAGCGTTGCCCCCAAAGCCCTGCTTGAGTCTTTCTCCGTGCAGGAAGGGCAGGGGGTCAACAGTGGAGAAGCGAAGAGAACAAGAAACAGAGAGGCAGAGATCTCACTGCCCCCTGGACGCCACGCAGGCTGGAGGGAAGCCGAGCTGTTGAGTGTTATTATCATAGCAGTGGTGGTGGTAAGAATGACCTCCTCGCCCCCTGCCTCCTCGGGGCCGCCAGCACCTGCCTCCTCTCTGCTCACTGCGTGAGCAGGGCTGTGCTTAGGGCTCCGCGTGCATTCCCGTCATCTTCACACAAGCCTGTGAGGTTGCTACTGTTGCTCGCCCTGATTTACAGATGAAGAAACGGACACTCTGATGGCTGGACTGACTTGCTCATGGTCATCAGCTCATACGAGGCAGAGCCAGGGTTTGAACCCAGTGGCTGACTCCGCAGTCAGGCTCTTGGCCGCCATGCTTGCTGTCTCCTCCCAGGATCCCCGAGGGCTTTGGTCTTGCTGAGGAGAATGTCACGGAGGAAGGAAGGAGGCAGAGGAGGAGCCCCTTCCAGCTTCCTTTTGCTTACTTAGCCCTTTGGGCAAATCTAGAGTCAAAACTAGATTTAGAAAGTCAGGTAGCTCTGCCCCATGGCCCTCTGGGAGCCTGAGTGTGGAGGCACTGCCAGCTCCGGGGACCTCCCAGTCCAGCCCCGGGCATGGAAGTGAGGAGCAGGGGGGGCACCCTGCCGAGACCGCACCCAGAGGACAGGGAGACTGGGTGTGGAAGGGAGAGGGGGACGGAGCGCCCAGGCCCCTGGAAGGCCCATACAACCTGGGACAGGCCTTCCTCCTGTCACATGGCCAGAACCCTAAGGATCCGAGCTGTTCCCTCCGAGGGACCTTCTCTCTCCCACCTCCTCATTCTGCTACTTGAGGGGTGCACGTTGGAGCCTACTCTTGGCCCCCTTACCCTTCCAGGGAGAAGTCCTTTGGAGCCTTGTGCTGAGAAGTGATTTGCACCCCTGAGGAAAGGCCTGACTTCTTTTTCGGTCCTCTCCTCCTTGTTCTTATTTCTGTCTGTTTGTTTGTTCATTTTCTCATTCATTCATTCATTCATTCATTCATTCATTCATTCATTCCCATTTGCTGCCTCAAGTGCACCCACTTTCTCATGGCTGCACAGGGTTTAAGAGGTGACTTTAATCTCCATTCTGGCCACTGGGTCCATCACCCCATTTTCCTTATTCTCTCTCATGTGTCTCGTGTGTGGTAGCTGGCTCTTGTTGGAGGTTCAGATGTGGGCATGGGGGTGAACATCCACAGATGCCCCTCAAGCTTAGCCAGCTCCCAGGGGAAGCCGACCGCACAGCCACTCCTGCCGGAGCTCTGCACAGAGCCTGAGGCCCACCCCAGCCAGCGGTAAAGCGCTTTGCCTCACTTTGTTCTCTGTGCACCCCCTTCCCCAGGGCCTCGTGGGGACTGTGGCTGAGCTGTGGCAGGACGTGGGTTTTCCTGTGTCCTGGCCAGTCCCAGCCTGATGCTGTGCTCTCCTTCCTTCACACTCCATGTGCACGTACCCAGCAGTTGCCTATGGGTTTGGACAGACTGTTAGCCTACCCAGGTGGGTCCGTCTGGAAGAACGGGGTCTGGACTGAAGGAGACAGGAAGAATTTGTGCTAGTGTCATGGCGCGCTGAACAGAATGCCAGACGTGAAAGCATTTGTGTCAAGTAGCATGGGACCAGGAAACAGAGGAACGGAGGAGGGCAGCCGTAGGAACCGACAGGAAAGGAAAATCAGAAAGTCTGGCTTTGAGATGGAAGTCCTCTTCGAAGAGAAAACGAGGGAGTATTTAAAATGCCATATTTAACATAAAGGGGATTAAGGCTAGAATCTGGAGGAAATGTTATTTGACACTTAAATCCTTGCTTCTAGAATGTCTTCTCTTCACAAAATAATAATATTTCTGGTTCTGGTTGTAATGCCATACTAACAGATCCTAATTTGGAAGAATAATTGATTAGCCCTATATGAGAGCTATTTATAGTACCTTTCCTTTTTGTAACATGTAAAACAAAGGTTAGTTTATAAAAGCATCTTCATAGCATTCCTGGTAAGACGAAGGGCCTTGCCTGACACGCATGTAGTTTGGTTGATAACCTAGAGGTGGTTGCAGTGTGCAGACAGTCAAAGCGGGTTTCTTCATGGCTTGTCTGCACTTGCCAGATCTGGTGCACCTATTAAAGTTACAAGGCAGCTATTAGCCACCAGCTGACACCAAGATTATAGGTTAAATTCTGTACTGGTTTAAACAGTGTCATGTGTCCACCAGGGCAAAGAGTAAGGTGGGGGACATGTGTTTGGCAAATGGT